CTTTTACAAGTGGTTGACCAGTTTTCCCAGCACCACTTGTTAAAGAGGTTGTCTTTTTTCCATTGTATATCCTTGCCTCCTTTGTTGAAGATAAGGTGACCATAGGTTCGTGGATTTATCTCTGGGCTTTCTATTCTGTTCCATTGATACATATTTCTGTCTTTGTGCCAGTACCATGAAGCTCTATACTGTCAGCAAAAACAAGAGTAGGAGCTGTCTGTGGCTCAGATCATGAACTCCTTCTTGCCAAATTCAGACTTAAACTGAAGAAAGCAGGGAAAACCACTAGACCACTCAGGTATGACCTAAATCAAATCCCTAACAATTATACTGTAGCAGTGACAAATAGATTCAAGGGATTAGATCTGACAAAATGAGTGCTTGAAGAACTATGGGCAGAGGTTGATGACATTGTACAGGAGGCAGGGAGCAAGACCATCCCCAAGAAAAAGAAATGCAAAAAGGCAAAATGGCTGTCTGAGGAGGCCTTACAAACAGATATGAAAAGAAGAGAAGCGAAAAGCAAAGGAGGAAAGGAAAGATATACCCATTTGAATGCAGAGTTCCAAAGAATAGCAAGGAGACATAAGAAAGCCTTCCTCAGTGCCAACATCCAATGGATCATCAGAAAAGCAAGAGTTCCAGAAAAACATCTAGTTCTGCTTTATTGACTTCTCTATCAAGGTAATGGAGTATAAACCAAAGAAAAGAAGACATTTCAGTAAGAACATCTACATAGAACCTTAAAAAGATGAGGAGTTAAAGAGACCTTTTTGATGGAAATAAATCTTTGAAAAGATGCTAAAAGGCTGGATAATTAGTCGTGAACTGTAACAGTGCCATTTAAGTCCCTATTTGCTATCCATTTAAAGTGAGAATGTGGAAGTTGAGAGTAAGCAAACTGCTCAAAGTCACAAAGATGTTCAGTCCCATTCCAAGGCCTGCTCTCCTTCCATGCTATGCTGTGTGCATCGTCAAGAGGCTAAGAAGCCAATCAGCTTTTGGGCATGTCCAGGGGTGAACATTACAGCTACACTCCTTTGGAGAGATATGGTTTCTGGATGTTCTTGCCTTCCAGGTGAACACTCAAACTCAGATGTATAAAGTAAATAAAGTCAACTACAAAAAGTTGATCTTACTAAGCTCGCAGTGGTTTGTTGTTGTTGTTGTTGTTTTGCTGCCCACAAAGACAGTTTAAGCAAAAAGAAAGGCCTCCTTCACCCGCTCACATGAGAAGCTCAGCTGCGGCCCACTCTGTATTTACCGGAAGTCACTCAGTGACTCCCGTCCCTGTGGCTCAGCTGTTAACGAATCCGCCTGCAATGCAGGAGACCCCGGTTCAATTCCCGAATCGGGAAGGTCCCCTGGAGAAGGGACAAGGTACCCACTCCAGTATTCCTGGGCTTCCCTGTAGCTCAGCTGGTAATGAATCCGCCTGCAATGCAGGAGACCCCGGTTCAATTCCCGAATCGGGAAGGTCCCCTGGAGAAGGGACAGGGTACCCACTCCAGTACTCCTGGGCTTCCCTTGTGGCTCAGCTGGTCAAGAATCCACCTGCTATGCAGGAGACCTGGGTTTGGTCCCTGGGTTGGGAAGATCCCCTGGAGAAGAGAAGGCTACCCACTCCAGTATTCCACCCTGGAGAGTTCCATGGACTGTATAGTCCATGGGGTCGCAGTCAGACGCGACTGAGCAACTTTCACTTTCACTTCACTTTCAGTAACTCTTGGTGATGTGACAGGAAATTTGCTACACATGTTATAAACATTCCTTTACTTGATCCTAGCAACAATTCTTGGAGAAGGCAATGACACCCCACTCCAGTGCTCTTGCCTGGAAAATCCCATGAGTGGAGGAGCCTGGTGGGCTGCAGTCCATGGGGTCGCTAAGAGTCAGACACGACTGAGCAACTTCACATTCACTTTTCACTTTCCTGCACTGGAATGGAAATGGCAACCCACTCCAGTGTTCTTGCCTGGAGAATCCCAGGGACAGGGGAGCCTGATGGGCTGCCGTCTATGGGTCGCACAGAGTTGAACACGACTGAAGCGATGCAGCAGCAGCAGCAACAACTCTATAAAGTACATACTAATGTGACCATTTTATAGAGGAGTACACTGTGGGGCAAGGAATTAACTAATTTATTACGAACCCATGACCAGTGGCAAGGCCTAAGTATAAAACCTGCTACTGACCTCGAATCAGGACGGTGGAGTAAAAGGGCCTGCGCTCGTCTTCTGTGAGAACACCAAAATTTCAGCTAGCTGCTGAACAGCCATCGACAGGAAGACGGTGGGACCTACCAAAAAAGAGACAACCCATGTCCAAGCACAAAGCAGAAGCCACAAAGAGATGGCAGGAGGGGAACAACTCATTAAATCAAATCTCACACCCGTCGGGTGGGCAACCCACAGCTGGAAAACAATAATACTAAAGAGGTTCTAACGCTGTTACAGAGGCTCCAGGCCCCGCATCAGACTTCCTGACCTGGGGATCCAGCTAAGGGCCTGGGAATCCCCAGGGAAGCTAACTTTGAAGGACAGCGGGATTTGATTACAGAACTTTCATAGGAGTTGGGGAAGCAGTGACCCTTGGAGGGCACAAACAAACTGTGTGTGCACCAGGACCCAGGGGGAAGGAGCGGTGACCCCACAAGAGACGGAGCCAGGCCTGCCGTAAGTGTGGGGGGATCCCTGCAGAGGCAAGGGTCAGCAGAGGCCAGCCAGAGGGTCAGGGGAAGGGCGGCAGCAGGCCTGGGAGGTGCACGGCGGCGTCAGTCCTTCTGAGGCCGGCCAGAGAGGAGAAACTGATTTTTGTCCTCCGGCCATTAGGGCCAGTCCTTCCAGTTCATTTCCACAGATTCCACAAAAGAACGCCTAAGGGGTTGAGACAAATGCCACCAGAAAGCCTCCTCCAGCCACTAAGAGCTGGCATTGCCAGAGGAAGCCACCCACTGCACTTCCAACCCAAGCAGATCCTGGAGTCCCCGATCTGTGTCCTCAAAAACCTCACAGTCACCAGCAATGCCTCTGTCTACATAGATCAGAGGCACAGCCACGACAAAGACTTCCTTTCAGGTCGCTGGCCCCTGAGGCAGGCAGCAAGAGAGTGACCTCTAGCCTGAGAGACGCTCCTGGAACTAGAGCTCCGCCTCACTCCCGAACTTTCCGCTCCTAGCAAGGCCAGGCACTTCCACACCTGGGGTCTACGTAACAGCACTCAGTAGCAGCATGGATCACACGTCCCTTGAAAGTCCATGACCTGACAGGTTAGGTCAGGAGTTTCAATTCCCAGGCAGTTACGAAACGGTCACAGAGACCGGAAAGTTTCCGTGAGAAAGGAGAGTTCAGTCCGCAGGCTTCATCCGTCTCTGGCGGCTCCCCTGGAGGAGACATACGGTGCCTCTTGACATTAGCAGGTCGGTATCATCCCTGACAGGGTTTCTGCCATGAGCCATATGAGGGCACCGTGGAACTGCAGATCAGGACACAGCTCTTGCTTTGCACTTGCTTGGGCATCTCTCAATCAATCACACACACAGGCACACTGCAGGTTGAGTAGAGTAAAGCAGAAAATGTGTTTACTAGGAGAACAAAGAACTAAAGCTCTGAGCGTGTTTACCTTGTCCTGAAGAATCCTGGATGAGCCACCAAGATGAAAGGTTGCTGCTACGAGCCGTAAATGACGCTGGGATTCTTGGCTTTTGGAGAAGAATTCAGTCCTGGGCCAGGGACGAGGCGTGATTGCTCAGAGCTTTCTGTGTAATAAAGTTTTATTAAAGTATAAAAGAGACAGAGAAAGCTTCTGACACAGACATCAGAAGGGGGCAGAAAGGCCCCCTTGCTAGTTTTTAATACACCTTTTAGAAGCTGCCAGTTAGAGAAAGGAAACAAGACTGAGAGAGTTGCACCAGGCCCCTCGCCCACAGCATGCATTCTGAGATAACATTGGCACAAGGGGAGTCATCCAAGGCCATGAAACAATTGACAAGAATCTTGAAGAAAGGCAAATTTCCAAGCAAATACACAGTTCACTCACATAGCTTAAGAAAGATATTTCCATGAGAAAAATGCAATGGTTAGCTCAAGGTCTGAGATAAAGCTAAGCTCAGGTGGAGCCAGGTGTCTCCATAACAACACAGGCTTAGAAGAGAAGAAAAAAAAAAGTTCGCCATTTGCAGTTTTATTTCCTGGGGACCTCAGGCCTCCCTACTGAGGCTGTTAACATTCTCACTGCCAAACAGTCTATTGACTCCTGGCCTGAGTCGCCTCAGGCCAAACAACTAACAGGGAGGGAGCACAGCCCCACTCATCAGCAGAATTTGAATTAAAAGTGTACTGAGCCTGGCGCTGCCCACCAGAGCAAGACCTACTTCCCCACTGTCAGTCCCTCCCATCAGGAACCTTGCACAAGCCTCTCAGCCTCATCTACCAGAGGGCAGATCGAAAAAGCAAGAAATATAATCCTACAGCCTCTAGGACAGAAACAACAGTCACAGAAAGTGAACCAAAATGATCACATGGATCACAGCCTTGTGCAACTCAACGAAACTATGAGCCACTGAAGACGGACAGGTCATGGTGGGGAGTTCTGACCAAACGTGGCCCACTGGAGAAGGGAATGGCAGACCACTTCAGCATTCTTGCCTCCAGAACCCCATGAACAGTATGAAGAGGCAAAAAAAGATACGACACCGGAAGATGAGTCCCCCAGGTTGGCAGGTGTCCAATATGCATATGCTACTGGGGGAGAGCAGACAAATAGCTCCAGAAAGAATGAAGGGGCCAGGCCAACATGGAAACAACACTCAGTTGTAAAGAAAGTACAGTCCACTATGGTAAAGAACAATATTGCATAGGAACCTGGAATGTTAGGTCCATGAATCAAGGTAAATTGAACATGGTCAAGCAGGAGATGGCAAGAGTGAACATTGATTATCTTAGGAATCAGTGAAATTAAAATGGACGAGAATGGGCAAATTTAATTCAGAAGATCGTTGTATCTACTACTGTGGGCAAGAATCCCTTAGAAGAAATTGAGTAGCCCTCACAGTCAATAAAAGAGTCCGAAATGCAGTACTTGGGTGCTCTTTCAAAAATGACAGAATGATCTCAGTCTGTTTCCAAGTCTATGTCCCAATCACTAATGCTAAAGAAGCCATGGTTCTGTGAAGACCTACAAGACCTTCCAGAACTAACACTAAAAAAGAATGCCCTTTTCAACACACGAGATTGAAATGCAAAACTAGGAAATCAAGAGATACCTGGAGTAACAGGCAAGTTTGGCCTTGAAGCACAAAAGGAAGCAGGGCAAAGACTAACAGAGTTTTGACAAGCGAACACACTTGTCACAGCCAACACCCTTTTCCAGCAACACAAGAGAGGTCTTTACACATGAGCATCATCAGATGGTCAATACTGAAATCAGGCTCATTATATTCTTTGCAACTTAAAATGGAAAGGCTTTTGATACAGTCAGAATAAACAAGACTGGGAGCTGACTGTGGCTCATATCATGAGCTCCGTATTGCATAATTAAGGAAGAAATTGAAGAATGTAGGGAAAATAGCTAGACCATTCAGGTATGACCTAATCAAATCCCTTATGATTATACAGTGGAGATGACAAATAGATTCAAGAGATGAGATCTGAGAGAGTAAATTCCAATTCCCTGGAGTAACAGGCAAGTTTGGCCTTGAAGCACAAAGTGTCCACCCACATAAGGAGTTTGTACTGGAGGAAGGACAGGCTCTACTAATGAGCATGTATTTAACAATTAAAACAGTTTGCCGGTATATTCCTATTAAAGATGGTTCTTTAAAAGTAACAAAACAAAGAATATCTAAAAGTGAACTGAAGGCCCAAAGAGAACTAGAGTCTCCTCTCCAANTTTAAACATATTACTGGGAAAGAACATTTAACGAAGTACTGAACTTTATATAAGACTGCTGTTTTTCAAGAGAATAGTTCCTTCCTTAATTTGAAATGATAATGAATTTTATTATCCAACAGATAGAAATATTACTAAAGTCAGTAACATTGATCTTGTATAGATCAATGAACTGACAGGACATTCCAGTGATTTCAGCTAAGGCAGATAGAATGGGGCAGAAACAGAAAGCTTTTCTCTTTAGAACGTGGTCTCCACACTGCCTCTAATCTATACTATATTAGATAAAAAGGACCCCGTTAGTCAAAGATGGTATGTAGGACAGAATCTGGGTGGCTATGGCAAAGACACAATGAAACAGAAAGCATTAAAGCAATAAAGCTGTATGCGTATTTTTACATATCTCTGGTTGTTATCTTAATATCTGGTTGATTGGGAGTTCTTAGTCAGAACTCTTAAACAGCGATAAGGAGTGATGTACAATTTATAAAATACAAGGTTCCAAGATCAAAAGCAAAGGAAAAGCAAGCCTCCACTACTCAAAATTTAAACGTAACCCTCTGAAGGGACATTTAGCAGGCTTTACAGAGAAAAGTTCTGAGGAGATGATACACAGCTGCCCCTGCTAGCTCCATCTGATTCTTCAACAGAGAGGAATGCCATAGAGCGCATTATCACAGAGACCTGATGGAGAGGAATTTCAGAGAAATGTAAGCCTCCAAGGGTAAACTCCATCACAAAAGAAACAAATACATACATTTTTAAAAATCATGGAGTAAAAGAGACCCTAAAATATTTACTGGGAACTTCGCTTTGGGCCAAATTTGAGCTATTTTGAATGCATTAACAGAACTGAATACAAATGAAAGGTGTACATATGTGAGAAAGAGAGTGTGTTGTTAGGAGAACCTAAAGTTAAACAAAGCAAGAATAGCAGGAGTTTTAGGATGAGGTACATTTACAGCTCCAATTAAGTGGAATGCACTTGGACCCTAGTTTTCCTCCCTAGGAAAGTCAGGTCAGAGTCCTAGGGCGTGTATGTATACCCAAGGGCCAGTGTCACCTGGGAGAAGTCTGAGAAAGACTGAGTTTTCCTGAGTAGGCAATCTGGTCTTCCTAGGGCTCAGACTAAATCAGGGAGCGACTGGGCGGTTTGGCAGCCCTGCACCGCTGGGGGAATCTCTACATGTCCGGAAGCGGCGGTCAGTCACAGACATCCATTGAAAGCCTCCAAGAGGATGCTGTAAAGTAACAGCTTAGAACAAAATTTCCACTCCTACCAGTGTCTGGGAATTTCTCATTGACACAGACACCTATGATTTCCTTACTATACAATATATACTTACTGACCACAGCAGGGAGGGGCTGCTCAGGATCCCCAGTTATTGATCAAAACAATCATACAACATTGGTCTTGTCTAAGTGTCTGGAAGAAAGCCAAATCCAGAAATTGGTGCCTTCTCCAGCACAGACCAGCTGACAGAGCATGCTGAGGGAGGAAAGGGGCGGTGGGGGGTGGGGGGACAGATTGAAACTGGGCAGAACTTTCCTCCAAGGAGCCTGATTTACTTTAAGTTCAGGATTCCCAGTATTATGAGAGTATATTGTAATACCACATTACAATGTCATTAGGAAATTACTTGTCTTATCTATATTCTGATATAATAATGATCAATATTTATGGACCATGTTCTACACACCAGGCATGTTGCTAAGCACTTTAAATACATTTTGTTTCTTCACAGAGAACCTCAGAGGTCCTGTCTGCCTCACTTTACCAATTAAGAAACTAAGGCTCAGAGAAAAATACACAATGGCTTAATGGTAGAACCGATATTCATGCCAAGGATTATTTGCCCCTAGAGATTATGATCTTAACCACCACAACTTATTATAACTTTTCATCAAAATTTGCTTATAAATGTGGGAGATGACACCAGTTTACTGTTTAGACAGAAGGATTTCCTCCAAGTTTGGGGGAAATGCGGAAAATCTAGTTTTCTTTCCCAGGTAGCAGCAACACAGAAACATAAATTATCTTTGAGTATTTTTTTTCTAATGTCCCAAGTCCCAAACAACATAAACCTAGTGAGAACTAAAGCTTAATCTGTTGAGTCCTTTCTTAGGTATTAAAAACGAGCTTTACTTAACGACTCCCTTGAGACAGTGTAAATAAGCCAGCTTCAACTTCTTATTGTAGAATTCAAAAGTCACTTGACTCTGCTAGAAAACCACATTTCTTTTTCTTCCCCCACACAGGGAGAAAAGATGTATCCTTGGGTTGGCTAACAAGCCTCCGTTAACTAGAGGAATAATTAGAGGTAAGAATACACCCTCAGACATAAATTTCCCTAAATACTTTTCAGAACAAACATTTCTCATCCCTCCTTCACGGCTTTATCAGAACATTATGATGTCTCTCCTTTGTGTTTTATCTTTTTTGCTAAATTATTTGAAATATTTCAGCATGATCCTCCAAGAAAACCTTTTAGTAAGCACATTTTTTGCAAGTGTAGATATCTGCCCTAAATCAATCTACATAACCAGCCACAACTTTTTATTAACAGAAAAATAATTTTTGCTTCATTCATGCCCCATTTTAAGTACCTACAACTTAGGGGGAAAAATCTTACCTTACTTAGAAATGTAGGCCTTCCAGGTGACCACTAAGCAGTCCATAAGAATACAGGTTGAATTCAGGTGTGAGAGGTTGGACTGATGAATGCAGTCTGAGTCAGAAAGCAAAGTCTAAGGTGTATTTGATTACTTGCCCATGACAAATCAAGGAAACCTATAATGTAATGCAAGACTCCTGACCCTACACAGATCAGGGTCAATACAGATGTTTAAAGTCCAGAAATCAGGACCCCAGTTACAGACAGTATAATGGAGCAGCTGGCCCCTTTGGGTTCACGCTGTGCATGCCATCCTTCACCATCGGCGAGACCCAGGCAGCCTCCCTGGGGCAGGACTGCTCTCTGGCCTCCAGGTGCAGGGCAAGCCTATCTAGCGTGCTAGATTACTGCCATCACCTGCTGCCGACTGCAGCGCATGCGGACAGTGCCAAGCAAAAGAGCCATAGCTTTGCACAGTCACAGCACATCTGCACCTAAACTCACTGCAGTTCTGGTTGGGAGCAGACTCAAGACGAACAAACTCAGCTTCAGAGAAGAGCTTTCTTTGTAAAGACTTCCTAAACTCCATAGGGAGACCTTAGCAGTGCGTGCCTCTGATTTATGCTGCTGCTATCATAATCACTGGTGTTTACTTTACTCTCTCACACACACTCACGCGTGCAGAAGACACTAGGCATCATGCTTTACTCACTCCTGTAACCCCAACAACTAGCAATGTGCCTACTATATACTAGCACGTAGTAGGTGGTCAATATTTGCTTGTTACTTCACAAGGACATTGGACTCTCTGAAAGGACTTCAGCAGGACTCTCTTGTCTGGATCAGAAGGCACACAAAATCCTTGATCCTGTGGCCCTGGCTGGCTGTCTAGCCTCCATGCATTACTGCCCGCATCCACTCAGCCTTCTGCCAATGGAGACACTTGGAGGAGAAGGCAGGGCACGTTGTGGGGAGGGGGAAGTCTTCCCTCTTTCTCTCCCTCCTTCTACTCAGCACTCACCAGTGGTGAGTCTTTTACTATTCCCTGGAAGCTGAATTGGAGGTTGCTGTTCCCCTCCCAGGATCCCCAAAGTCACCCATGCCAACTTTAATCACTATTTAATAAGATTCATTATGAAATAAGATCAAACAAGGGCTTCCTTTAAAGACACAGGCAATCCCAGCTTTCACCTCTGAGTCTCCAGGGCCACACAGTTCCTCGTACATCACAGCCACTCTAATATTAGTTTAAGGAAAGAGCTAAGATCCTAAAGCCCACACATGGGGAGAACAGACTTTCACAGAATCTCAAAATAGAAGAACCAGATAGTCTTTGAATATTTTTGAAGTCTTAAGATGAAATACCATATAGGTATTTACTATGCAGAGACTGTTAAAGTTGAAGTAAAAATAGAATTAAGGCTTTTAAGAATATCAATAGATGAGAGATGAGGGCTGCTCTGAGGCTGAGCAAGTTGAGAAAGTTACCTCGACACTTACACTGTGACTAAAGACGAAATCAACAGCTGGAGGTTATGCACCTTTCCCTTGAGATGGATTTGCCACTAGCTCTCCAGGAAGGGGTGCATGAAGGGACGCAGCATGAGCCGTTAGGACTAGATTGGGGAAGCCCGCAGGGTCACCGCTTGCAGAGGTTCTGTTGTTGAGCTCTGACGGCTGTTACCCATCCAAGTACGGATCAGCTGGGATTCTCCTCTGCCAAGTTCCTCCATAATGTCTTCAGGTTGCTGGGAGGGGAAATGGCATATGGAATATTGTTAACATTGATCGTATCTATCATGCATATGCACCCACTCGAAGGCTCAGGAGAGAATTTAAAGTAACACTGGCATTTAACACTTATTAAATTTGCAAAAGTTCTGAAGAAATAAAAGTATAACTGTCATGTAACTTGAGGATGGGAGAGGAGTGAATGCTGAATCCTCAGAGATCAAATATGGCTGAAATTAATAACCCAACAAGAGACTTTCAACTGTCAAAACACTGCAGAAGAAAGTGAATTTGAGCTCTAAAGTGGAGGGGTAGACAGACATGACTAAAATTTAGACAATTTTAAATTGGTCTGAAAGGCAGACTAAGCATTATGTATCAGGCATTTGCTAAATCAGTTCTATCAATATTTATTTCTAACAAGAAACAATCTCCTAGTCCTAGCTAGTAGCAAACCTGACCTGTTAATCCACACACTTGTTTTCCTAGATGCTGAACGTGATGTCTGTCATTGTTTGTGCACTTCTTCCTGTCCTGGCCCGTGGTTGCTACAGAATTGTCGCATCGCCTGCTGGGGCTTCTCGTCCTTCAGGATTCTCTCCGTGACCTCCTCTTTGTTCTGTTTTCCTGGCACTTTCACACGTCTCATGGACAGAACAGCCTCAGCAATCTTCAGCTTTATAGTGGGTTGTCATTTAAACTGCTTCCGCGTGTGATTCTGCGGGTCTATTCTTCCACTGTGTGCATCTATCTTGTTCGTCCCAGGGATTCTCTGCTTCCTAGAATCATAAAGGAGAGAAAATTAACACCCTTCAATGTTCATTTTCAGCCTGGAGGGGTCAAGGTTTTCCTTTCTTCAGGGTCTCTTGTTGACAATTCTGAAAGTTTTCTACATGGTTCCTTAAAACATCCTGCCCCCACCAGGACAAAGCCCCAGCTGTCCACAGGAACAGTTAACTCAAGAACACCCCTGGGTCCACCCTCCCTCTTCTCAGGACCCTCCACCATTTGGGTTCCCTTCCTCAATTCAACTGCTTGCATCAAAGACTTAGCTCAGGCTCTGCTTCTTGGAGAAACCCAATTACTTAAGGCTATGAAAACATTCTTCTGATTTTCTGGTTCATTCTTATTACCCTATTAATCACCAGAGCTAAAACTCAATACTCTTTTTCCACTTACAAAGAACAGCCTCAAGACTTGATATGTGAATATCAAGTATAACTTCCATAAGTTCTATACAGCCTTGCACACATTAGGTGGTTAATAAGGGAAAATTGTGGTTACTTTTAAGGTAGTGATTACTTAAGAAGAATGATGTATATGTAAATATGAAAAGAAATACATAAATTGCCCTTTTGCAGATGACTTAAAATAGCTAGAAGTAGCTATAATTACCCAGTGACATTTCTAGGATCAGTTTAGAGACTTCTACATCTATAAACCTTCCCGGCTGTTTTCTTTTCATCCTATGCTTTCTAATAAAAAGTAAAAACTTAATTCTTATGGCTTCTTATGTTATCTGTTTCTGGTTAAAAAAATTAACAAAATCTCTTGGACAAAGTACCATATTGCTATCAGCTTCACATATCAGCACAGTATTAAGAAAACCAACTGCTGAATGTGAAACTATTTTTGATTTGGAAAGGAAAAATCTAAGTGTAAGCAGTAGTACCAAAAGGAATAGTTCTATGCAGCTTACACAGACTATCAGATCAGTTAGCCACAATTCTTCTGATTTAAAAGCCAACAAAGATCATTTTATAATATTTGACAGATACCAGAAATCAAGCAACCTGAACGTAAACACTGCTGTGATTGCTTGTCACTAAAGATTGAGATGCTGTGTATTACATCATAAATATGAAGAAAAGAAATCAAGACCCAGTTTATGAATCTCAGATATACTGGCTGAAACATTCATCAATGTGGAAGAACTGAATTTTTTCCAGGGTTTTCCAAAACAACACACAAGAGTAAATACAGAGTGGCTGAGGAATCTATTTCTCTCCAAGTCTAAAACAGATATACCTATAAATAGGTATCAGTTACTTCCATGAACACCAGAATTATCCACATAATTAATAATAACACAATTTTTAAAGAACATTTAAAGTGTAGTTTGCTTGAACATAAAAATAATAACAGGTCATGTCAGTGGAAAAAATAATAAAGTGAAATCGTTTCCATGACTGCTTTTAATTCCTGAGGAAAAATCATGTGTAGTTTTTGTTGTTCAGCTGCCCAGTTGCATCCGACTCTCTGAGACCCCATGGATAGAAGCACGCCGGGCCTCCCTGGCCCTCACCACCTCCGGAAGTTTGCCCAAGTTCATGTCCATTGCATTGGTGATGCACAGGTTAAAAAAATTATTGAAGCTCTAAGTAATTCACTCCTTAGTCAAAAAATAGAATCTCTTTGTTTCAAATAAGCCCATCTTTTCACTTTGTATTCCAGGCGACCAGAGCTTTCCATAGGCACACTGTAGGGCTTTCCCTGTTCTCCAGTATTAGAACCGCATTTACATGACTGTCTTGGTAAAAACAAAATTATGAAAGTGCTCTGATCAGTTTTGCTTAAAATCTTATGCTATGCTGACTTGGCCACAATCAGTTGGAGTGCACAGGAAAGAGCCAGATGTTCGCAGAACAACATGACTGAGGAATGGTAGGCATTACAATCAGCCACTAGCAGGGCTAGTGTAGTGGTGCAAATGGTCAGCAAGTGTCAACAGGTTCCACGGCAGAAAAATGTCTTTGGAGCTCATGGTAACACTAAGGCATCAAATACTGGGAGACAGGATGGACTTTATTAGATATGCATTATGAAGTCGTCACTCTGTAGGAAATTATATACTTGCTCTGGAAACGGGGCAATTACGTGAAATGTTAATGAATACTTTCAGACAAAAGAAGTGTCAAAATAGCAAAGTGGGATTGGATTTTATGAGGAGGTTAATTTCCAAAGTCAGCATATAAAGCAAAACACTTGCAAAGTCAAAATTACCTCTGAAAGTCCTTACAAAAATCCCTTACCACATAAGAAACAGAAGTATCCCAAGTTTAACAGAAGAGTTTGTCTTTTAGAGTTTTATTATTTAAGCATGGAAACAGATTATTTCTTTAGTTCAAAATACTATTTTTCATTTGAGGACCCAATGTAATTGACATGCATTTCAGGTCTATGTGGTACTAAAAATACCTGTAAAAGCAATATATGCCTGAAGTGAAGTGAAGTGAAGTGAAGGTCGCTCAGTCATGTCTGACTTTGTGACTTCATGGAATGTAGCCTGCCAGGCTCCGTCCATGGGATTATCCAAGCAAGCATAGCGGAGTGGGCAGCCAGCCCCTTCTCCAGGGGATCTTCCTGACACACGGATTGAACCCAGGTCTCCCGCACTGCAGGTGGATTCTTTATTAACTGAGCCACCAGAGATATTCTTAATCACTATGAAATAGCTGCACTCAAAACTACACAATATGACTTTTGGAAAGTCACAGAACACTGTGTGGTATCAATTACCTTTAAGATCTGGTGAGGTAGTTTCACTTACATATGAAAGCAACAGAACGTGAGGTCACTCCCAACTCTAAAGTATGGGTCTATGAAATAAGTCTTTTCTATAAGAAAGCAGTTAGTAAGTATTGATCCACAGTTAAGAAAATCAGAAAACCCCAGTGCAAAATGCTACCTCTGACCCGTCACCACTAAGCCTCTAGGTCAGCACCCATGTCAATCACCTAAGTCTGAATTCATAGTTTACATTTTTGACTCAGCGTCAGAATTGATGGCCCTCTGACACAGGACTGTGTCAAACAGTTGGGTCAGTAACTTTTAGTGTAAGCTTTAGCAACAGACCTATGTTTGAACCACAGAACCACTTCTGTTTTTTGTTTTTCACTTTTTTGAGATAATTATAATGTACAGTTGTTAAGAAATGATACAAAGAGATCCTAGGTACCCTTTACCCAGTTCCCCTGAAAGGTAACATCTTGCAAAACTAGTATAATATTAGAATGAATGTGTGAGTTGCCTAGGACTGCCGTAACAAAGTACCACAGTTTAGGTGGTTTAAACAACTGGAAGCTATTCTGTCACTGTTCTGGAGGCTTGAAGTCTGAGAACAAGTTGTCAGCAAGGCTGGTCCCTTCCGAGGTCTCTTGACCTCAGAAGCTCAAGGTCAGGTGAGCTGAACACCTCACGGTGTTTGTTGTCAAGGTTGGTTTCTCTTGGTGTGCAGATGGCTGTCTCCCCGCTGGGTCTTTACGTCTTCCCTCGGAATGTGTCTTTGTCTGGATTTCTTCTTAAAAGGAAATGAGTCATATTGGATTAGGACCCTTCCTCATGACCTCATTTCAATGTAGGAACCTCTTTTAAAGACTGAATCTCCAAATATGATTACATTCTGAGGTCTATTTCAACCATGAATTTTGGTGGGGGAGGTGTAAAATTCAGTCTGTAACAACTAGGGTATTGATATTCATACAGTTAAGATACAGAACGTGTCCACCACCACAAGATTAGCGCATACTGACCTTTTCAGGCACGTTTACCTCCCTCCTCTCACCCGACTCAACCCCTTAACCTCTGGAGTTTATTCATCTTTTCTCCATCTCTGTAATTTGTCATTTTGAGGGTGTCTTATAAATGGTACAGAGAGTATGTTACTTTTAGGGACTGTCTTTTTAAACGCAGCAGAATTCTCTGGTGATTGACCAGGCTGTTGCTTGTGTCACTAATGCACCCTTTTCAGGGCTGAGTGGTATTCTGCAGTGTGGGTGCTACAGTTTGACCACTCACGAGTTGAAGGACTTGGGGGCTGACTTCAGTTTTTGGCTGTTATCAGTAAATCTGCCATAGGTACCTATGAGCAGGTTCTGAGTGAACACAGTGTTCACCTGCAGGGATAAATACCAGGAGTGCAATTGCTGGAATATTTTAAGAAACTGCTTATTTCCCAGAATAGTTGTACCATTTATATTCCCTCCAGCAGTACAAGTAATTCACTAGGAACATGAGTGATCCCATTTCTCTGAATCGTCACCAGCATTTGGTGTCACTATTTTTTAATCAGCATGTGGTGCCGTCGCCATTTAGCTATTCTGATAGGTAGGTAGTACTTCATTGTACTACCTATTAAATTTGCATTTCCCTGATTCCCAACAATGTTATTATCTTTTCACATGCTAACTTATATACTGAAGTGAAATGTCTGTTTATGTTTTTCCTCATTTTGTAATGATTTGCCTATTTACCGCAGAGTTTTAAGCACACTTTATATATTCTAAATACCAGTCCTTTGTCAGACACATGGTTTACAAATATTTTCTGTCTGTAGCTTGTCTTTTCATCCTTCTAACAGAGACTTTTGCAGAGCGACAGCTTTTAGTTTCAGACTTTGGCTCTTACTCTTACATTGTATCTTAATTGATTTTTTCTGATACAGATTCAATGGGGAAAGGTAGGGATGTCATTTCAGTACTGTCCAGGGAGTGTGTAATTTCCTCGGTTCTGTCTCCCAGAGGCAAAAATTTGAAGTGGTGGACCAGTGTTGCAGCTCGTTTACAGCTCAGTTTTATTTGGCAACCAAAGGAAAACATATCGTCAAGGCATGAGGGCAGGTTCATCAAAAGAGAGAGGGGCTCAATGCTGGCTCCTCTTTTTAGATGCTGTTTTCTCCTCCCCCTGGGCCTGCCCTGTGTAAACTGGGCTAGCCAGGAGGGCTGTGTGTTTCACCTGAGGTTCTCATTCAGTCCTCGGAGCTTCCTCTGTTCTATTTTGG